GGGGGCGGTGCCCGTCGGAGGGGTGAGGCCGGGTCAGGCGCTGGACCAAGGCAGCGCGGGGAGGACACGGCAGCAGCTAAAACACAGCTGGGGGGCCCAGGTAGCTCGGCGAGCCGGTGGCGTTGAAGGTACCCAGCACCCGAGGGCCAGATGGGTGCTATTATTATATGGGTGTCATTTTTATATGAGTGTTATTTTTATATGGGCGTCATTTTTATATGGGCGTTGATTTTATAAGGGCCACCTACCAAGCACAGGACCCAGCGTGCGGTTGGGGCTGCATCTTGCTCATGTGCAGGATCTGCACCGATTTAATGAATTAAATGGAAAAGCTGGAGCCCAGCCTGGCAGCGGGGGACGTGGGGTGCACCAGCCTCTCCCCCGGGCCCTCTGGGAGCCGGGAGCGGCCGCAGATGCGGGTCCCGGCTGGCAAACGGCGGAGCTGAGCACCCGAGGGCTCCCACTGTTCCAGAGGGATGCTGAAAAGCAGGGCAGAAAGCGAAGGTGTGGGGCAGCCGGAGCAGAAGTGTTTGGTTTCTGTTTTGCAAATGAACACTGAAAGGAAACAAAAAAAATCGCTGAGCTTGAAGGACTTTTTTTGAACATTCAGATATTAAATTGAATGGAGTTTGGGCTACAAAATCCCCTAGGAAAAATGAAGAGTATTTCCTTTGAGAACAAAGCTAACAAATGTCTCGGCAAGAATCTTATTTTATTCTGTTTCCAGACCAAAGTCTAAACCCAGCTTCTGCTTTAATGATGGTGTTGTCTCCAGGCTGCCCGTCTTAGTAAATCAACTTCTAACTTCTGAAACGTTTCTATGCCCCTTCCCTCATCAAGCCCTTAACGAACCTTGCACAAACGAGCGATCAGCATCATTAATGCACAATCCCGTCCCTCTGAAACAGCAGGGCCAAACAGCCCTGCGAGGTGCCCAGCACCCTTCCCGCACCCCCGGGGCCCGGCAGACACCAACCCCATCGCCCGGACCGGCGAGAAGCCGAGCCACCGGCTCCAGCTCCGGCGTCCTCTCCGCCGGCC